GGGGGGGAGGCGGTGAGGAATGGATAATGGATACTGTGTGTCTGTCTTGGCTGGCTGGCTTACAATGGAGCTAGCCTCCAAGACCTCCGCCACACCGGCGACATCCAGCGCGGCGCACTGAACCACCACGTCAACCTTTACACACACACAAAGACAGACAGACACACAGACACAGCCCTATATTTGCTGCTGTGCACATCGATCGATCCGCCCCCCGTCACCCACCTGTCGGTCCACCATGGCTCGTGCATTGCTGACGGCCTTTGTGCCGTTCGATTCGCTGTCAAGCTCCACCAGCTCCACGGGCGTCAGTTCCTCTGCACCGCCCACACGCACACCGCCCGCCTCACTCACAGTGTCGTACCAGTAGCGAAAGCCGTCATCGAAGTCCTGGCCCTCCTCGCTCAGGGAGCCGCTCAGCGGACAGATGAGCCCAACGCGCAGAGGGCCGGAAGACGGCTGTGGCAGCGCAATTGGGGCGAGTGAGAGGCCGATGAGGAGATGGTAAAGCAGCCATGAGTGGCGCGTCATGATTGGGCAGATCTGGCTGCTCGGAGGGTGCCACGGGGCTGCTACACACTTGCCGCCATGCCGCAGACGAAGCCTCGCGCTGGCGGCAGCTGCGAGATGGATGAAGATGACAAGCGGATCTTTCGGTTTTTCGGCTGCTGAGCCAACGAGAGCACGCTGCAGCCTCACTGCGGCGCCTCACACACGGGGAGAGAAGGAGGGGAGGGAAGAAGGCTCTCTAAGCTCGCAGATGGCGAGCTCTTCTCTTCTGTCGGGAGCAGCAGTCTTCTCTTCTGTCGGTTGTGGTTTGTGCCTATCTGGTTGAACGAAGAGTGATAAGTGCCCTCGCTCATGAGTTCCATCATCTTCATCTGTGGGCTGATCTTTCTGGCTCTTCTCGACCGCATCGCCGCCCTCCCCGCCGTCCGCGTGTCCCTCGCCAAGTCACCTAGACCAAGATCTCGGCGCCTGCATGACGCCGCCCGCTCCATATCCGCCCTCTCACCCCTGCCCTTCCCGTCTGCCTTTTTGTTCCCGATGGAGATCTTCACACTGAGGAGGGGGCGGCACGCTGCGAGGAGCTGGGCGATGCCGGTGGGAAAGGAGGCGGTGCTGACAGAGAGTCCGAGTGGTCAGAGGGGAGGAGGCTCTCGCTCATCAGATGGCCCATCAGGCGGAGACTCGGAGGCCGAGGCACCATCGTACGGCGGCGACGGTCCCCCCTTCCCCGTGGCTCCGCTGCGGACGGCGTCATCGTATCATCGCGACGCGACGATGGGGGACGTCTCGTCACCGCCTGTGTCATACGACCTACCCCCGACAACTGATGATGGACAAGCAGCCATCACCGTGCTATCCCCCCCTGCAGCTGAGGAGAGGGGGGCTGCTGTGGAGGACCGCACCACCGCCCCTCCCACACCCACCGGCCTGTACGATCCCCCGGTCCCCCCGGATCTCTATGCTCTGCTGGCGGCTTTGAACACGACGGGGTATGACATCAGGAGCCTCCCTGACCTTGAGGAGCTTGTCACGCTCGAGGAGGAGTTCCGGGCCGACGAGGAGGACAGGGCGGCCGAGCAGGACCCCGCCTTCAGGACGCCCGAGCCCGGCCAGAGCGGCTTCCGCATCTCTAACAGCCCGTTTTACCCCTTCCCGAAGGACAATGACGACGTGTTTGCGCGGAAGGAGGCCGAGGAGTCGCAGCTGGAGGACATCCTGCGGTCGGCATACATCGCCGACAAGGTCGACAGAGAGGAATGGCTAGATCTCTACCGCCGGCGGGGCATCGAGGCGGTGGAGCGAACCAGCAGGGAAGACCGGCTGTTTCTGGCCATCAACCAGATGTACTTTGTCATCCAGGTGGCGTTTGTGGCGGCACTCTTCTGGTGGGTCCTCACGGCAGAGAAACCCGCTGCCCTGGAGAGCGTCACCAGAGGGGCCAGGCGGCTCATGATGGAACAGGCGGGGGCGGGGGGGGCTGAGTGAGTGACGGCCTGATCATCGATCGCCTGATTGGCACTGTAGTCATCTAGTAGGGATGGATGGATGGATGGTGCAACCGTGTACAGACAGAGATACAGACGGACAGCCGGCCCCAAGGGCAGCCAGACAGACCCCCTCTGTGTGTGTGGATGGGCATACAAGGGTGCACATAGCGCGTCAGTCAGGGAGTTGTTGCTGCCGATAGGTAGGTAGATAGACACGTAGACAGACCCGACCCTGCCCATGGTGTGGTGTGTGGTGTGTGTGTCCGCCTGTGTGTGGCTCGGTGGGTCGTTGGGTGTCTGTCGATGGATGGATGGATGAGGGGGGGCAGCAGGGAGGATTTTTGCCAGCCAGCCAGCCAGACGTCATGTCATGTTGATTGACGAGTGCATGTCATGTGTGTACGATGGATGGATGGACCTAGCTAGTTACAGCTGGCTCTTTCGTCCTTTCACTTTTGTCCCTACCTACGTACCTACATAATAGTATTACCGTGGATCGGATCATTACACGTCGCAGTGTGCATCAATCAATGTAATAAAAAACAGACGCACGGACATGAGACACAGACAGAAAGCGACCTACGCTCCAGCAGACAGGTATGTCACCACACGCACACGCGCACGCACCGCCAGCCTCTGGCACCCACTCATTGGCGGATGCGCTCACTCACCCACCCACCCACCACTGCATGCGCTCTCTGCCTCCCCCATTTCTCCCTTCTACGGCCTCGATGACGCTCATCATTTTCCGCGCCGCCCTATCTCAACCGCAGAGAGAGGGATGGGTGGAGCCAGCATCAATGAGAGAGCGGCAGTGAGTGAATTATGCATGCCAGAAAAACTGGCACCTGCGACCAATAATCTTGCAATGACAACACACAGACACACACACACTGACACGCGAACGAAAAGAAAAAAGGCAGAGTGGATCACACTCAGTGGAACGAGCGACGAAGAAGAAAACGCCATAGAGTCAGGTCAGCGAGAAAGAGGGTGGGAGAGATGATGGCCGGCCATAGGAAGAGAGAAATGAACATCAAGAGACAAGACACATACACACACAGACAAATCCATCCCACGGTAGGTACAAATCCATCCCACTTCAACAATTGCCTATAGACAGACGTATCAGGCGCCGTCCGAGCCGCCATTGCTGTAGTAGTGGTGGTGATGGTAGTGCACGTGGTGGTGGTGCTCCGTGCTTTCGCCGTCGGCGTCGCTCTCGCTGCCGCTGCTCCCCGTCTGATGCGTGTGGCTGCTGGTGTGGTAAGATGATCGGCCCCTGAAGTACGTGTGATGCTGGTCGAAAGCAGATGGCACCAGAACTGGTCAGAGAGAGAGACAGGCAGAGAAATGAACGAGGACACTCTCTGTGTCCCCCCACTCACTGCAGACATACACGTGAGCTTGATGTGGCCGCCTTTGATGCCGCCGTTGTATGGGGTCGCTTCGAGGGTGAAAGTCCCGCCTGTCGGCCAGATGGCGCGAGCCGCCTCACCGAAGATGTCTGGCCTGTCCGTCGCCGGATACACCGCATTGCCGAACGCCACGAAGGGGGAGAAGAAGTCGAAGCCCTTTGGGTGCCTTTCGTTGTCCCAGTCAATGTGCACACCTGAAGACAGGACACGCACTCATACCGATCCATTTCCCATTTCCCATTTGCCACGTGTGCTGTGCCGCCGCGAACCTTCGTAATCGAACAGCTGGAACTCCACCGCCGTCACACACACCTCTGGCACAGCAGCAAAGCTGAAGTGCAGATCGACGTCATCTGGGACGACGAAGTCGACGGTGCCAGGGTGAATGAGGTCGGGGGCGCTAGTGCCGATGTCATCGAAGCGAGGGTGCACGGGCTTCTGGTCCTCCAGTACGACGAGCTGGAAGCCAGCCAGCGATGGACTCACACCTGCACTCGACAAAGGGATGAACAAAAACAGCTCTGCGCGTGGGCTTGGTCCCGGCTGACCTTCACACACATCGCCCGTTGCCGGCGTCAGGGCGGGCTTCTTGTCTTTTGGCTTCTTCGTGGTTGTGGGCCCAGGAGTCGTCGTGTCAACGGGCTTTGCTGCACCACACACCAGTCAAGACGGAGGCGTCGAGAGATGCACGTGACTGTGTCAGCAGGTCATCATCGTTCCTCCCCACCTGTCGTGGTGGGCTCCTCGGTGGTTGTGGGGGCCCCTGCTGTTGTCGTTGTCGTCGTCTTTGGCTTCTCTGCACCAACCACACACAACCACACACACACACGATTGCTGTGTGGCTGAGGTCTGCCGGTACTTGTGTCCATCCATCCATCCATTCTTACTTGTGGTCTTGGGCATGGGTTTGTACTCCGGTGTCTCTGCCTCCGCTGCGCCCACACACACAGACAGACAGACACAGTTGGTTGGAAGGTATCGATGCGATGGTCCCCCATCACGTGCCTCGGTTCACCTCTGGTGACGGGCTTCTCACTCTCAGTCACTGCTGGGCCTTCAGACTCTGCCGAGGCTGTGGCGGCTGTAGCTGCCCCTGCCTTGGTCTCATCAGCCACATGTACTTGGGCCGCGACTGGGGCGTCGTCGTCGCCAGCGGTCACGGAGGCAGAGCGGTCTGAGACTTGTGTCGCCTCCTGACGATAAGAGGACCTCTCCTCCTCCCGCTCGCTTCCCGAAGACCACCAACCCCACCACCACCAGGTGGCTTGGCAGCTGTTGACGGCCAGCGCCAGCGACAGAAGGAGGAGCGTCAAGCCACGCATCGTCAAAGTTTTGGTGACGGAAACGCTACGTCGAGCCCTCGCGAAAAAATCGGTTCCCTCTTCCCCCCGGCCGTTAACGCACTGGCCGCAAACCCTGGCCAAATGCGAGCTGAACTCGCCTGAACTCCATCGAAAATGCTGTTGGTCCTCGCGCCTTTCCTGCTGATCGCTCTCGCCCACTCCAGCAATGGTGTACACTTTTGCAGTGAGGAGGGCTGCCACATCGACAGCCCCCACAACGGTACTCGTCAGACATCATTGCAAAGACCATGCATGCACAGACAAGACATCTGTATGCCTCATTGTTGGCTCCTTGTCGATGGATGGATGGATGGATGGATGGATGCATTGCCTTGCAGGCACCTCATTTGCCGATGTATCTGCCTCCCGTCAGAGGGCCCCCAAGCTGCGCAACCAACTCCAGGCTGTCCGGTCGTCGATTCGAGCAGCCCAAGGCGTAAACGAGAAGGCCATCGAAACCCTGAGCCGTAGCAGCAGCCTCTTGGGAGCACGTATGCATCGCCTACCCACAAGAGACCTACAAATATGGCACGGACGCATCCTTTTTCCCCTCCTTGCTCCCATCTTTGGCTTGCAGGGGGTGGCCTTCCGCTGAAGGAGGCCCGAGTCACTGTGGCGACCCGTACTGGCACCAGTAGAGGTGGGCACGCATCGAAACAAAGACAAAGAGCCGCACTGGAACCGCATCCTTGCTTTGTTCTGTGGGCATTCATGCAGCGGAGATTGTGCCGCCGATTCCCGGCGGTGAGGGAGGGCAGGGGGATAACACGCACACACACACATAGCGTCCTTCTATGGCGACCGGTGTGTGTGTCGTGCAGGGGCGCAGTGCATCATCAACTTCAAACAGGTCGACGAGGTCCCTCACTCCGAGAAAAAGAAGAGACGTGGTGACCTTGGTTTTGGCTCGGTGGAGGTCGAGACCCAGTTCTTCGAGCTGATGTTCGCTGCGACCATGGAGGGAGGCTTAGCCTGCGACAACGGCTTGCCGTGTGTAAGCAATCAGCCCATCACGGTCCAGCTACAACACGACATGCGTTTGATCGGCACAGCGAGGGGCGTCTGTACGATGGTTTATGACTACAACAATCCCGATGAGTGCTTTGTGCACCTGGCGACCTCCGACGGCTTTGCCTACTGCCTCAATGTCCAAGCGGTCAGCGGCACAACACGCGAGTGCTCATGCATTTATGCGGTCATTGTGTCCGTCTGTCTGTCTGTCTGTTGTCTGTCTGCTTGCTCGGCTAGGGGACGGAGATTCTTCCCGAGGGCTGGTACATGGAGTTGCTCGCAGAGGACATGACGATGGAGCACTTCTGCAAGAGCCACATCGACTATGACTCGCCAGCAGGCGCACCGCATGTCGCCAACATGATCTTTCCGGGCTACCACAAGTACGACAAAATCGTCGAAAGGCGCAGGAACGAGCTCGGGACGTGGCCGCCCTCTGCCTTCGAGCCCTACTGGTCAGTCCACATTCTCTCCCGCCTCTTGGCAGAGGACGCAAAACTCTTGCGTTTGCTGCCACACTACCCTAACGCTTAGCCAGCACACTGGATGGAGACATTCAAATGTACGTCTGCACACACATATACATACAGTACTACATACAGAAGTCTGTCTGCGAGTGTCACGAGTTCCGGTTGCGTTTGTATATTTGTCTGTCTGTCTGGCTGGCTATCGGTCTGCCTGCTTTTGATGCGGGACGTGTCTTTTTGTCGGTTTGCTGACTCGACTGATGTGCCGAATTTCAAATCGTCGACGGCATGTTCACATCAAAGGTCAGATCTCCATGTCTCCCACACACCACACGCCCACTTCTGACGCTTCTCATGTCTCGCCACCCCCACTGTAGTATGAAAACGGTTGGCTGGCCACCCACGTTTCTGAGCGTGCAGCACAACAGACCGCCAAAATAGGCCAAATCGCCTAGCCCATCATGCAGCGAGTGCCTTCTCGGCCATCTTCATCGCTCCCTCCTTCGTCGCATGGCCCCCGATGAACCCAGTGCCGTGCACGAACACTCCCCCCTCTATGCCCATCACACGACTCAGCTCCTCATCCCCCAGCCCCCGCCACTGCTCTGGAAGGGCCTTGCGCGACGTGAAGGAGCCCTCCTCCTCGGCAACGGCGTGCACGCGCCACGAGCCCTTCACGTCGGCGTAGATGACGTACACCACTGGAGGCACGCTTGAAGAGCCGCCTTGCTGTTGCTGCTGTTGCTGCTGTTGCTCGATGTCGAAGAGATGGGAGGCCCATGGGCAGAACCTCTCGAGCAGAACGATCTGCCCGGACGAGTGGACGTTGTGCCGGTTCCCATACGCCAACTTGACGATCTCGCGGGCCGGCCACCACGAGTCCCACAAGTCGACCACACTGCTGACGAACTCCTCTCCCGCCAGTCGCATCGCCCGCTTGAAGGCCGCGTTGCTCTGCCCGGGCGATTGCTCCTGGTTCCATCGCGGGTTCATCTGACCCACTCGTCCGCTCAGTTGCGTGTAGACCTTGTACCTCAGCGGCCCGTCCGCCACCTCGATCCCGTTGTCAATGCCGTCGATGGCCTCCACGAAGGACTGGTAGATCTTCTTGTACATGACGTCAATGGCGGCGGCGGCGGCCTGCGGGCCGACGATCGTCTCGATGACGCGTCTGCCGTAGTGCTTGTAGACAAGGCCGGCGGACGAGAGCTTGGTCTCGAACCCACCACCAAGCACGTCGGCGAATCCTGCCTGGTGGTGGTCGAAGCGACGGGCGGCCGCGTCGTAGACGCCACCCACATCGACCTGAATGCATCACAGGGGCAGTAGCAGTCAGGTGCACAGATTGCCGGGAGGGAAACACTCAGTCGCCGAAGCCTTGCGTGAGTGTGCTTTCACTCACCACTGTGTGGGCCTTGTCGAGGTAGGCAGGATTTCGAGAGCGGATCACTGCCGCGCTCTCGTACTCGGGCAGCAGACGCAGCAGTGCACACGCCAACACCTGCACTCACTCACCGACAATCAGTACTATCTATCACAGACATGCGACCGACAAGTAAGTCACAGCCCTGGCTGGCACTCACGCGGTGCGTCACCTCATCGCAGTGGAAGACGCCGTCGTGTGTCCCAATGAGCTTCAGCTGCTCGCCCGCAGCCACTTCGTCAGGACTCGGGGGAGGAGTTCTGCACCTTTAAGCTCGCAAACCCTACACCCCAGCCCTAATACTTTGGCTTTGGAGGCTTTTTCCCATTGCAGGGGGGCGGGGCGGCCGGGGAATGACTGCTGGTGTGATGGGCTGTGCGCGTGGTGAGTTTGAGCGGATGGCCTTGCGTGTGTGAGAAGTGGGTATGCGGCACGGGGGGTATCGATGGGTTCAGTGCGGTGAAGTGGTGAGAGGTGCAACCTAGTGGAAAGGCCGAATATGGAGGCGATGGGCGTTGGCACTTTACAGAACATCTTGTAGATAAGCTGTACAGTCAATACTCGTCCATCCACGGCACCACGAAGTTAGCAAAAAAGCCATGGACACAGAGAGAGTGAGAGACAACCGATGAGTGCAGGGGTGAGTGGGGGTGAAAGGGGGGGTCTATGGGATGTACACACACACAGACAACACACACAGACAGCCTCGCCCTCGCATGGGTGACACACACACACACAGAGAGAGAGAGAGTGTGTGTGTGCAGACGGTGGATGCGTGTGTGTGGGGGCCTATGGGATGCACACACACACAGACAACACACACCCACACACAGAGACAGGCTCGGCTCGGCCCTTCGGGCCTCGCCTTCGCACCAATGGCACACACACACACACTAACACACACACGAACAAACTAACACACACCAATGGCACACACACACAAACACCAATGGCACACACACACACACACACACACCAATGGCACACACACACACTCTAACACACACACGAACACACTCACACACACACACACACAGAGAGAGAGAGAGAGAGAGCAGGGGGTGGATGGATGGATGTGTGTGTGTGTGT